GGAACCACCAGCACATGCTCAGCCCAGGTCAAAAATTTAGTTGCATATAAATTCATTCCTTCTTCCTACACACACAGATCTCAGGATCTTAATCTCTTAATTTTCTTAATCTCAGGAGCCTAATTTAGAAGTAAGATGGGGATGGGGGGTGGGGGACACATTTTGTTGCTAGTGCTGAACAACTGGGAGAAAGAATTCTTGCTGATCAGTTCAAATTGACCTCTTCAGTTGACAGTAAGCTACCAGTGCATATGTGTAACATTAAGAAAGCCTATTCATTTAAACCACAATTCAACTCTGCTGTGTGGTGTGTTGACATGCAGAGGGCCAGGAGGCCGGCTGGCAAGCCCCCCTGGGCCGTTCCCTTCCAGCCGTCCCATTGCGAAGACCATCACTTCTTCTCTGACGTAAATCAGTGACCCGGGCTTCTGAGCCAGGACACACTACCAGCAGATCGCACTGTGCACACAGAATAGGCGTGAGGCTTGTGGAAGCATGCTACAACTACAGATTTATTAACCATAAATCAGGACAAAGAAACAGGTTGTCTCTCTCTCTCATGTTGTCTCAGAGAGAAAACGCAAAAGTAAAAGCTATACTCACAACAGAAGTTCCCATCATACTGTGCTGGAATGCAAACAGACATGTGACACGCAACAATCCCATGTCTATTCCTTAAGGTGGAATGGAAATGTCAACAATGGCAATTGTCCTGTGGCAATATTCAGAAGTTAAAACAAAGTGTTCTCACGCTAAACACCTTAAGTGCTGTTGATAATGCCAAGGTTGCAGGCTTGATCCCTGTATGGGACAGCTGCATATTCCTGCATTGCAGGGAGTTGGACAAGATGATCCTCATTCTATGCTTCTAAGTGCCACAGCTTAGGTGAAAGGAAACCATTCCAAAGAGCAATGTCAAAAGCATAAGAGTTCCTTTGCACTTATATTTGAAATGGCAAGTGTAATATGTTTCAGAACATGGTAATGGATTTATTAGGGTAGTAATAAAATCACATGATGGTTCAGTAAGCTAAAATTGCCTACACCTATGGTTTGAAGGAACATCCAGCAGCTGTCTATTTGAAGCCTCTTCACTGCAAGCTTCACTGGGGGCACATTGAGCCAGAGGGAACCAAGAGACACGCAGCAATGCAAGAAAGGAAAGAACTGAGGTGCTGGCATAGAGTTGGTAGGGCTGGTCCAGGCTGCAGATATGGTGACCTCCATTTCAATTAGAGAGAAGGAAAGTGCATAAAATAAGGTAAAACGATCTCTTCTGGGAAATAACAGTTGTGAAATGTTATATTTTAGGAGTGCGCACCAGCCACAAGATTAGACTTGCATCTGTAGCCACAGCTTTGAGAAACAGCCCAATCTCTTTCTGTGTCCTCCTGATCTGACTCATTTTTCAGAACCAAATTAGATCTGTTATATGATGTTTAGCAATCTTAACCCCCCCCCATGAAGTACCTTGTGAGTTCTGTCTTGCGTTTGCTGAAAAATACGTATCGGGCTATTTTGCAACATATGTCAAATGTCAGTTGGATGCCACTCTGCATATTTTCTGGACCTCTTGGCTGCAGGCAGCAACAGCATCTTTAATCCATTTGACTAGAGCTGCAGAAAACTCAGAAGCAGCACCAAGCCTTCCTGCTTATGTATTTTCTTTGTGAGTTGGGGTAGGGGGAAATGGGGCAGAAGTTGATGACTTGAGCTCATTTTCTTTCCAAAGCCATAGATTGGATTATAGTGTCAATACATACAGTACTCAAGTCAACTTGTTTCCATGCAAGAATAACTGTTCTTGTGAGTGCTCCCTATTAAACACAGCTGGAGTGTAACAAGGCTTAGCAGCGTGAAGCAATCAAACAGTTTCCAGTTATAGAAGCTGAGTCGTCCCATCGCCTTTATTGAGCCGTGGAGCATTATTTGTCTTCCGACTGTGTCTTGCCTTTGTAAAAACAGCACAATTAACGCTGATTGTAACTATGGAGGGAGCTGCAGCAGTTGTTGCATTGTAGTGGGTACGGCTCAGGATGTAGTGGGGCTTTCTGCCCTCCCCCTTCTGAAAGCAAAAAAAAGGAGGAATATTTTAAGACCTTTGATACCAAACACAAACACATTCCCCATCTAATTATTAAATTGCCTCCCCTACAGCTGTTTCCCCCCCTGTTTGATTGTTAAGTTTGGCATGAACATTTGATTTGCTCTGTCTTTTTGTTTGTTTGTTTCATATTCAAAGTTTTGATAGTCTTCTATAATGTGAATGCCCTTTTATTCACATGCATATTAACCCACCATGTACGGCAGTGCTCTGACTGCAGCCGTAGAGAAGATGTACTGATGTGCTAACTTGACTACCTGTTTTCAGCTGACAGCTGTCAATCTTGTCAATAATGAGCAAAAAAATGTTCCATCTACTCATGTAAATTACTACCAAAAAAAGCTATAGTTCCATCATGTCATCTTTCAACTTCCCTTCTGTGACCAGAGGATTGCTCCTAATGGGGAAGAGGGCTTGCTAGACTATAGAGCATAGTGCAAAACAAAAGCATTGCTTTATCCTTTCCCTGTTTCTTGTTTTCCATGGCTCTGCATGGTGTCTTGGAGAAATGGTGGCTTTCACTGTCTCATTTTATTGCTGCCTCACCTGCTGCATTTGTGTACTGGATGGCCCAGTGAAGTCTTCAAATCAGCATGAATATTTATGGCATGTTGATTGGTAAAAGTGTCAACTGCATGGCTGTCCCATTCGGGGGGGGGGGAGCTGGCTTAGTCATCTGAGGCCCAGGGCAAGTGTACCCATCGGCCCCCCACCTCACCACTCTGCACGGGCCTGACGGTAAACTGAGGGTCACAACTTCATCAACATTTTAAACAATACATCTGCAGAGAGACTGAAAGCTGTGCTGGCCTTTCATGAACTTGCACAGGGGGACAGAAGAGGCTAGACCCACATAAATGCCTGTGGGGATTTCTGCCCCACAGCAAGAACCCTTTTACCCTAAGTTCACTAGTGGTGGGGGTTGGGAGGTACCCCTCTCCACAGACTACTTTCAGGTATCCAAGATATTTTTCCTTACACAAGTTAATGACAGGATTCCTATCTCATTGACCCGAGAGAATTAAATAACTGAGGGGAAATCTACCTTCCCCATGGCCCAGTTACACCAAGAGTTCCTGGAAAGGGTGGGCTTCTGGTCCCACCCCCAGCCATTTACAAGGACCCAGCATTTCATGCTCAATAAGGACTCACTTTGGGCTGTATTGGCTGAGGTGGAGGAGCTGTGCTGCCAAAAAGAACAAGATCACAATCATACTCATTTCTCCCAACAATCCCTCTGAAAAGTGAGGTTTTGTGGGGAAGGGTTTCCCAATGAAGCACAGATGGAGGTGTGCATTGAGAAATAGCATTAAAAATGTTATGAACGATCAAAAGCACTAAAAATAGCAATAAAAGTGTTTGGGTGGTTCACATGGAAATCTATAGCTCATGAGCGATAATCTCAGTTGTTGTTGTTTTAAGTCCTCCTATAAGTGGTCTGAGAAATCATGGAATTAAGGGCAAAAGTGGTGGCATTGCTAGACATGTGTCATGTGAAACATGAGGAAGCAAGAAGCAGAAATATCTGGGTGGTAATGTGGATTGGACCATACTATTGATGATGTGCAAAACCTGCACAAACCAAGCTGAGCCTGATCCATCCATTCCTAACTTGCTATTTCCCACCTGCCTTTATGTTTGACTTTTTCTCCATCCTATCCAGGCTGAGCTTTAAATATTCACCCCTGTACAACTCACACACACACACAGGCATTTCACGGGGGCCACATTCTAACACACTAGGCGATGCCCTTAATGCCCAGTTTGCATCACACCCCTGATGTTTTAACTACAAATGCTTGAGTCCATGTCCTGAGTTTGTAAGCTGATTCTCTGGTGATAACTCGTCACCCCCAATTCCTTCTGGCTACTATCCTTCTATGCAATGCACTTATCCCTTTCCAAAGCAATCTCACTAGGAATTCTTAAAAGCAACAGGAGGAAAACATTTAAATATGCTCACTATTGGAAGATACTATGCACATTAGTACTATCAAGAACAAAACTTTTTAGCTTGGTTATCCTTGAGCTAGCTGTTCCACTGTTTGGGTTGGAGCCCCTTTGCAATTTATGAAGAAATTATTATTGCTTTAATACTGAGGAGAAGGCTCAATGAGTCATGAAAGTGCATACTTGACTTAAATGAGAAGTTGGCTGAAGAAAGCAGGTGTGTGCACAGATTTTCATTTACTAAAATGTTCCAGAGGCAGAAGAACTTTATTTTAATATTGGGTTGAAATGAGAACTGCAGAGTCTCTAATGCATGGATGGAAAGATTCTTCAGAATAACTGTAACAGCTCTGGTGTCTCTTGATTAAAATGTCATTTAATTTTCCACAGCTGTACTCCTGACATTATCATAGACGACCCTGACATTTCCCTGCAGCTACAGCAGAAGAAGAGGCTAGACACCAATTGAGATGTTTCCTTTCCCCGCATCAGAGCCAATAGAATACCATTATAAACTACCCCAATATTTTTCTTCACAACAGTGTTTTACGATCATTATACTTTGGAACACAGTCCCTAAATAGGAATCACATTCATTCCATTTGTATACTCTCCTGAAACATGTTGCCAGTATTTTTTTAAATCAAAACTCTTAGGGTTTTCTTCAAAATTTATCAGAGTAATGCAAAATTCACTTTAGCAGCAACCCATATAGAAATGGATGGATGTGTGAGTGTCTATGTTTAACCATATGCTTGCCTCCAAAAACTCCCATTGCATTTGCGTATGGAAGTGTAATTACCCTGATTTGTAAGGCATTGCACCTGAGCAATTCACCATACTATCAGAGCTGATGCATGAAATTTCTTAAAGCACCCTACATGTAGTCACCAAAAGATGTTTACTTTCCCCACTGATTCAGTGTTTATGTTGGATTTGTTATAAGGACCTTGTGCATCTGCCATGCAGTGATGGTGAGCTATACAGGCAGGACCAAGACATATTGGCAGAACTGGCACAAACAAGAAAGAAGGCGGAGCAGCATAAGGCAGAAGCAAAGCAGCTGAGCATTCGGATTGAAGATCTAAGAAGAAAATTAAAAGAGGCAGAAAGCAAGGTACGTAGATTGTAATTGTTATCAGATACACATTAAGTATGCAAATGAATGACAATGCATTTCAAATCATTTATATGTTATCACGGTTACTAGAGAAATGGGCCATGGTTTGACCAATTTAATTTCCCTTCTCCACACCTGTACCTTCTCTCATCGCTTTGCGTCCTAAGGTCTGCTTCAGAAATGCTCTGGATTTGTAAGATTAATTTCTTGCATATAAACTGGTTGTCCAAAAATTAATCTGAACTCCCCTGCAAAATGTGACAGCAATCTTAAAGTTCTTTACACGTTAACGTTTCCCCTTCCCGGAAGAAAATAATTTTAGACCACAATGAATTTTTGTCCCCAACCAGGCCAAATAATATTTCAGTTTGAAAAATCTCTGTTACGTTTAATGAATAAATACCATTATCAGCTATAAGATGCTCATACTATTCTATTGAACTGTGGCGTGTCAGTTTCATAAAGTGCGACTTCTATGAGGAATGGTCTTGTGGATGGTTTTCATGGATGGTTTTGAGCTGGGGTCCTCATGCAGGGGATTGTTAGTTAGTTAGTTTCGCCTTTAATAGCTTATGCGTTACCACCTTCTGCCAGTGAGGCAGCTATAGAAGCACAAAGCCATGCTAGGAAAAGTGGCAATCTCCACAGGGCCTCCCTTGTGATGACACATCCACAAACCCCTATTAGTAAAAAATAAAAATAAAAATTAAGTGTATTCCCATGGAGCTCATCAAAAAGTGACAGCAAAAATCACTCTGAAGTGAAAATGGTTTTCAGTGCCCACCCTTAGAAGAGGAGTTCTCTGCTAAATCTTGTCGCGGTGTCCTTGCAAAGGGATGACTGGATCGACCAGAACCAGCTTCTGTAATTCACTCACTTGCAAGTACAAAATTGCTTCAGGGCCTCTCTGTAGTTTGAAACTTGGCATGCTTCAGAACTTGCCTGTAAAAAAAAAAATTAACAACTCATTTAAGGTTCATTAATTCAGCTCTGTTGGCCTGTGGGCATGGTGCACATCTTCACTTAAATTGGTTTTCACAAGAAAAGGAAAAAAAGGGCTAATCATTTATGGTCAAGCTAGCTAGGCCTTATGGTCCCAAAGCCTTAAAGATCTATAAAACTAATACCAAGAGCAATATAGACAATAATTAGAAAACACTTGATTTTTTAAAAAATATATTCCGGTTAGATATGACAGTAAATTACAGTGCAATTTTATATCTAGATCCATTAAAAATGTATATGTTTGGTAAATTGCATGAGCTTCTTATTACTATGAAATAAAACACCTACTGACAAGTGACTTCCTTGAAAATGTCAAAAGCATAATTACTTCCCCCTTGCTTATAGGTGGGTCGGGGGAGAAAGAAGGCTAGGTGTTTTCAATGCATCATTTAATTGTAATAAGACTTTCTTTTTAGATTGAAGGGACATTTTTCTTAAGAGAAGTCTCAGGTTTCCCATTGTTCCGGCTATAATATACTCAGGACTGCTCAGTCAGGACTGCAGCACACGGAACTGTCTGCAGGATTGTTCCCTACATCTTGGATTAAGCCAGTTTAAGCCACTAGTTTACCAAGTCACTTAAATTTGTTCACTGTAGAATTAAAGTTCTGATAGTGTGGGCATATCCAATAACTGGCCAAAAAGTGAAAGATTGGTGTTTATTCTAGACTTAGGGAGAAGTCAGATGCTACTTTCTTGGAATTTAGAAAACTGGAAGCAATTCTGCAGCAGTCAGCATTTTAAAGATAATATATTGATTGTTTTTTTATAGTAGAAAGTACATTAATATGTCTTTGGATGATGCACAAAACTGAGGTCCTGACCACTCTTAATTATTAAGTCCCATGGCATTAGGGGTTCAAGCAAATTCTGGCCAAATTCCATCCATCGATTTTGGGGGTTGTGCTATGTTAATTGAGGGCAGAATCTGGCTTAATTTCAGATGGGATAATTTAATTCTGCCTAACTTAATTTCCTATGCTGCTTTTATACTGTCAGTATCATTTTATACCATTTATACTAAAATTTGATTTATTCTGCTCCTTAAACAAGTCAAGTTATCCATCGTGGACTTTGTATTGACACACAGTGTGCAGGTGGTGCTTGCACAGCCCACTTTCCAGAACCTTCTGGAGCGTTTGGTGCCCACAGTGCTCTTTCTTATTGAAAGCATCTCAGTCAAGGGGTGGACTTGGTGCATTTTCCACTTATGGTACTTCATCTTTACCCATCATGGAACAAAGAGCTGCGTCTTCTCTTTTCTGAGCAAGAGTGAAAATCACAATTCAGTTGTGTTCTTTCTCATCGTGAGGCAATATTCAGCTGTTGATTGATTCAAGTAGTGGGACATCTTAAGAAAGTGTGAAGAGTGTGGGGCGAAGATGTCCAGTTTGATGATGCCACCACGGCCCAACTTGCTATAGATTTAGGGACACATACAGTTTGCCAAAAGTTTACTAAGCAAGTTGGGTGGAGAGAAAATCCAGGTTTTAAAGTTCTTCTCTTATGTCCTTCTCTAAAACTGCTTAGGTGCAGTAAAGCCATAAGGTTTAGTAACTAAGGTGAGGGTCAAATATATAGTGATAGACAGGCAGATATTTAATGGACAGAGCAATCTGCAGGAGGGAGTTTGGATAAGATGTGGAGGTGACTCTCTGCCCAGCTCTGCTCAGCTGTGTGGAATCTACTGCCAGCATATGCTCCTGAAGTGAAGTGTTTCATATTGTTCCCCAGATAGCAAGAAATGAATAACCAAATAGCAAATATAACCATATAGACCAAATGCAATATAATAAGTTTTGATCCTAACTTCCACTTAGGGCTGTCAGTACCATAAAGTCACTTTCACAGTTCCTTGGACAGCTACTCCTGTTCCCTGCTGTTGAGTTTCACTATTTTTCAGTGGTGGAGGCTGCTCTATTTGTCCCTTCTTTTCCCTTTTCTCATTTGTCTTCCTGATTGCCTTCTCCACTCTTCTGTTTCCCCTTGCCTTCCTCCAAAATCACTCTTCTTCCCTCTGCTGCTCTCTTTTGTCTCTCTCCTCAACCTGATGTTCTTCACTCTTTTGCTTTCTCTTCTGCTTCTCCAACAACATACCGTACCTCTCATTCTCCTTCCATCTCTACACAGCTGGCATTCCAGGGCCCATAGGACTTGGATCAATCTCTTAGGGAGACTCTGACTTTTCAATTCTGACTTTGAGTCAAAATCAGCCAGGCCTACTTTCCTGCATTTGAATGTATTTCCCAGGGTCAGTTCAGCGGCACTACAACTCTGCCTCCCACCCACAATGAGCAGGCATTACAGTTCGTTAGATTTTGGGAACCTTTGAGATCACAAGGTGCACAAATCTTTCCCTTCAGATAGATGCCTCCAACCTCCAAAAAGCCCAATAAAGAGGTGCCTAGGAAATCCCCAATGTGTTCATCAGCATTGACTCCTGAAGCAAGACCTGGTCCTGGTGATCAAGATTATTCTATCTAAGGCTAAACATGCTTTAGCTCCTGGCAGAACAAACATCCATATTAGAAAGGTTCCAGCAGAAGTTGTCAATAATTCCATGGGAACCACTTCTCTACCAACAAGGGACGTTGGATAGTTTTGGTTTCATTGCTGTTGTCTTTCCTCAATCTTGGAAGTGGAATGAGAAATTGAAGAGAGGGTATTCAATGATGAAAACAGTTCATGCAACTTTCTTCTCAATGAAGCAGAGTGGGGGGCTCATTCAAGTGGATAAGGATTCAGTATCTATCTGTCTATCATCTATCTATCTATATCTATCTATCATCTATCTATCTATCTATCTATCATCTATCTATCTATCTATCTATCTATCTATCTATCTATCTATCATCTATCTATCATCTATCTATCTATCTATCTATCTATCTATCTATCTATCTATCTATCATCTATCTATCTATCATCTATCTATCTATCTATCATCTATCTATCTATCATCTATCTATCATCTATCTATCTATCTATCTATCTATCTATCTATCTATCTATCTATCTATCATCTATCTTCTGTCTATCTATCATCTATCATCTATCTATCTATCTATCATCTTTCTATCTATCTATCTATCATCTATCTATCTATCTATATCTATCATCTATCTATCTATCTATCATCTATCTATCTATCTATCTATCTATCTATCTATCTATCTATCTATCTATCTATCTATCTATCTATCATCTATCTATCTATCTATCTATCTATCATCTATCTATATCTATCATCTATCTATATCTATATCTATCTATCTATCTATCTATCTATCTATCTGTCTATCTGTCTGTCTGTCTATCATCTATCTATAATTTTCAATTATAACAAAAAAGAAAACATTTCAGAAATCAATCAACAGTAATTCTGACATTTTGAATCTCAACTTCTCCCTCTCTTTCTGCAGTTCCTTAAAATTGTTTTCATCTCTCCCTGCATATCCCACATTGTCTCAATCTATTCAGATAGATAGATAGATAGAAAAGAAACTGCAGGTTTTTCCAGTAGTCCTGCTAATTTCTTGATCTGTTTGCAATTTTTAAATATTCAACAAACCATTTTCATTTCTTAATAAAAAGTTTGTTATCATGATTTCTTATTCTTTCGGTAAGTTTCACCATTTCTGCATATTCCATTAATTTCTGCAGCTATTCTTCTCCAGGGCTTTTTCTTCTTTCCTTATGGGTCCAGTATAAATTCCCTTGTGAGATGGAAACATTGAGGAAAGCTCCCTCTCCCTCTGGCCCATGATCCTCTCTTGTGTAATTTCTGGCCCTGGATCTCCAAGACATGTATTTCCACATAAGCATCAGATAAAATACTGCCCCTTTCTCATATTTATATACATAGAAAAGCATTTTTGATTCAAAGTTCTCTCAGTCAGACTCTTCATAGCCTCAAGGATCTTTATTAAGCATGCAATTCTAAGAATCACCCATCTCTGGGAATAGAACAGAGAATTTTTGATGATTTTCAA